TAGCTGCTTCAACACTCAACACACCTCACATACTCTCACCATTTCAGCAGTTCACGTGATCGGTGCGGACGGACAACAACCAAACCGAGATAGAATCTGTTGTGGAACCACAAACTTCGTACTACTGAATCTTGCCGGAATATCTCGAGGCGGAGGTACTACACAAGTTTTATACTTCCAACTCCGCAAGAAACCAGTGAAATCAGTGAAATACAACTACTTCTGTGAGACGTATGGTAAGAAAAACACTAAATAACTATAGGAACTTGGGATGAATCCAGTCAAGTTTTTGCGTAAAGGTACAATGGGCCTCAACGCGCTACGAACAGAGACAGACGTGTCATTACAGTGTTCATTGCAACTGTACACATATTACAACGCAAATTTTTTATAGTACTAGGAACTTTCAACGGCTTCCATTCATTTAATGTTAGCTATCATGAATATGGACAGACGGTAATCTGGTTCGAGTCACCGATCGCTTTAACATATTTGATCTACCTTTAGTCAGATGTGGTCCAAGCACCGAAATGTTTCGTACTGTTGCAAATATTTGAGATCCATTGAAACGCACTGTGGCAACAGTAATATGCTAGTTTCGGTTCGGTAGTTATGGTGTTATGTTTACTAAGGAAAACGCTGTGCGAAATATTTCTGTTAAAATTATCGGAGGTAAACAGTTGTTTTAAAGTGATAATCATCAGCTTTTGGGGAAAAGCCAGACGGTTGAACTGTAGATTAAACGCAAGATAACTACCATTTGTTTCATATGTTCAATGGTCTGATGTCATGTGTAACAATGTGATTTGACTGTCGGGTTTGTTATTGGATGAATCACACACTGATGGTAAATCTACCGAATAAATCTTTGGGCTAGTTGATGGGCACGAAGCAACATGTTATGTGGCTATCCATTCTGTCACTCTGTACAATCCTTCAGAATTTCGTAGAGAGCTCCGCGTAAAAGGTGTACCTGCCCTTATTGCATAGCGCTTGACTCAATCTCAACGTGATAAAAATCTGCGAGTTGCTGTCGACGATATATTCCATCTTACAAACAGTAAACAAATGTTTAGAGATTAGTGCGCTTATCGAGGAATCGTAGCACAGTGTAACAATTGTATATATCCTGTGGCCGTTATTCATGAATGTTATCCTACGTTGGACTTCCTTGAATCTAGATAAAACCCAGTTGTGAAAGATCAAGGCTTCAGCTGGATTCGGCCCAGCGACAAAAACACCATGCCCAAACACGGCAAGAGCTCTACCAGTTGAGCAACGAAGCCACGCCAGGAGCTCGGAAATTTCACATTTGGACTTTGTTACCCATTTGTCTCACTGGTTCTTACGGAATCCACCAAGTGATCCAGGGATCGACTACCCTGGCAGGATTTCTCAGAAAACTCACGCCGGAATCCACCAACGCAAAGAAATTGTATTACTAATATGAAGTTTGGTAGATTTATCACCCAATTGTGAAAAGTCAGGACTTCGGCTGGATTCGAACCGGCGACAGTCTTATTACATATACAGACTGTGATTCAAAACATCAATCACCCACAAGGTTGTTGGTCAGTGCACTGATCAGTGTACCAAATCGATAAAATGTGTACAAGATGGAACTTTTGACGTACTTTGCCTCATTCGAAAATGCCAACTAACAGTTTTCCGGGAGGTTAGATATAACAAACTTATAGTGAGTTGGTATTTCAAGTTATCAGGGAATAACGTGGACAACATCAGTTTAAAGTCTTTCAGTGAAAAGATCGGATGACCTTGAAAATTCACCACTGCACTCCGAGGAAGGTTAATTGGTATGCGGGCAGAAATGCTTTACAAATTATTTAGCAATCTCGATTCGGCGTTTCATTATTATATTAAATGCAGAGCTTGAATTTATCCAGGATTTTTCATCTAATCAGTGAAACCTCTTTAATTTAGAAGCAAACCACTGTCATAACAAGTTGCAGATCACTCAGGAAAAGCGAAATACAAAGCTTTTTGTTCTGGTGTGAAATGTAGTCAAAGTGATAAACGGGAGGTCTCTACAGCTTAATCACAATCACATCAGAGATGTACCAGTTTAGTCTGTTTGGGATATTATATAAGTTCACGAGAGGAGTAACACACCAATTCAGAGTAAAGATATATTTGTCATAACGTGCTTCAAAAGGCACGTATTTGGATTATTAGTGTTTCTGCATTCCAAAGTATGAACAATACAAACGAGTACTCATTTATGCTGGCTGTAGTTTGGGTGCGTCTATAAGGTTGATATAAGATTTTCCATTTCGGCATGAATTACACTGAAAGCTGGGCATGCGATTTACTCCCGACATTCCAGTAAACATTGTCAGCATGATATCGATTCCGGTCATACTAGTGTTGTGACCCAAGAACGCGGATGGCACAAGGGTTGTTTATTCAACAAAGCAACACGGGTTAAGCGTTTAAACAAGACCAGAAACAAAATCACTCATTTGCACGCGGTATTCAGACATGACCGTCTCGGTTGCCACAGACGCCAGTACTCAGTTCCTTTAAGTAGTAGGGACCACTTTGGGCGATGATGCACTGCAATGTTTCTTCCTGCATTTTTCCTGCGGTTTGTTCCATATCAAAATATATGCTCTGGTTCTACTACTTAATGGCAGTGGTATGAGTAGTATATTACGATCGCTCATCCTCACTACACTAGTTTGTGAGAAGAACAGTGAAAAATATGGGCGAGTTTTAATTTTGTACTGCACTATACTTATTACCGTACGTGGGCCTGCATATTGCAAAACAAATTTCTAGAGTTGATCAGTCGAACGCTGACCTCCACCGCCCCAGAATCGCTGGTGAACTTAACCAGACGGAATCATCAATATCCTGAACACAAATACACACAATAGTTTACATCACGACAACCAGGACCTACTATGATCTATATGGAAGTGTTGAACTAAGTGATACAGGTGGTGACAGCAGAGCTAACCGAATTCTCTATCACTGTGTTACAGATAAGCTGATTGTGTAGCATACGTGAATTCTAATTAGAGCACGGTAGTTGCGTTTTTATACTCCGGATTTTTTAATGTCCCGTTGATCAGGAGGAACAAATCTTGCACTCTTATTAGTAGATATAACTTTAGATTTGTCTTCTAGTCGAGTTGTTACATCAGATGTTCATGAAACTCAATAAACGCGGTGTTCATATTTATGGCAGTAGAATACCTACATGTGGGTCGACAAGGTTGTTAGTTAAGCTTTTCGTTAGATCGACACTGCCAGCCCCTACATATGGAAACGTAGGTCTAACTCCTTCTTTATGACGGAGTACTTAGTGAAATGTGGTATAATCTTCCACTACGAAAATCCTTATCTTCATTATCGTCAGCAAATCATCAGTGGTTGACATTGTCGTCTTATATGTCATACATTCCTGAGAGAATGAGAGGAAGCCTGTTTTTCAAAGAGTAAACGGGGATAAGGGATGATACCGAAGTTGATAAACACAATTGAACTGGTTTACTGGGCATTCATAAGCATCCCAAAACAAGACTTAAGTGAGACGCTTTTTTACGTGAGATGTGCCATGTGAAATTTGATCTTAGTGCCAGTTACTACCTGTCTTTAACTCGCCCATTGTTTGGTTCTTATTGGTTATTACAGCCGTTTTTAGTCACCAGCACACAGATTGCCGTCAACATCGTCGTTAGTGTTCGCATACCTAGCACATATTGCACAGGGTTCCGCTGGGAAGTTTCTGGCTTCCTTTATGGTCTCATCAGCCTGCTTAACAGTATCCTAACTAACTTAATTCGCACCTGATGTGTTTTACCACCCCAAAGTTGCTGCGAGTGCAATCACGATGTCAGACACTGCAGCGACATATGGAACGCTTGGAGGGAATCAACACATCTCGTATGGAAGAGCTGGAAGCGTCTGCGATGTGCGAAAGAGACTTGAGACAAGATATCCGCGGGTTGCAGCGTCGAATATTCGAACTGGAAGCAGAGGTGAGCCTCAAAATAAGTAGCTTACGCTAAACCCGTGGGTACTTCTTAAATTGGACAGTGATTTCTTGATTTTACCAGTTTCCCAATAACCTATTGTTGTTTTGACCGTTCGATAAGTAACGAAAACTGCGTTATTGTTACTCAGCATACCGAGATTGTAAAAAGAGGTACATTGCGGGGTGCACATATTCCGTTTATTTTCGTCAACTGATGTTCTAAAACATTCAGTTTGAGTGACCAGGTGCATAACTGCAAGCAACGTGCAAATGGTTAATAACGGAAACCATACTGGGTTCCGTCAGAAGTGCAATCGGTCTTCTCTGGTTCTTCCAGACTTCACGCCTTTCACGAGGTAGCAACTGTCGTTCACTAGTGATATTTTTGTCACACGGGCGAATTTCCTCATCAACAGGCATGCAAAAACCTACATAAATGTGCAGAGATATAGTAGCGTGATGCCATTTTTCTCATTCACATTGTTTTTGTAGGTCGTATAAAGTTTGAGAAAGTTCCTACTTGTGTTGTCAAAACGACGTCAAAGCGCGTCAGAGTATTTATATATGTTGATTCTATCACCCAAGGGATTAATTTTCCAGGTGACGTCCTGAAGGAAGTCTAAAACTTGTCAGCGGAGGGTTTCAGCTGAAATCAGTCAGAGACGATCTCCCCAAAATAATGTCATGAAACTCGGAAAAAATTCAATCAATTAACTACCCAGTTCCAGTTTGAAGGCCAACACGACTAGCTAAAAGGCTGTTTCCATTTCGTCAAAAATTGTTCATCAGTCTATTGTTTTCACAAAATTCACTCAAATATAGGACTACAATAATATCGATGCAATTTGATGTATAAGGTTAATTGCTGATCACATTTATCTCGATGCGGAATTGCGTTTATCATCTTTTCAGCTGCGGGAAACTTTTGTCCTAAATCCATCCGTTACCTTGCTTATGCAGTAAAACCTAAGACGGCGAAATGGAACAAAACTTTTCGGTGGCAAAAGGAAGTGAAGAATTTTCAAAGTTAGATAATACAAGCAGTGAACTAACCTTAGGCAGTACCTCACCTCGGAAGTAGCAGCCTGTTTTCGAAACAGTAGTTGACCGCGTCACACTGCTGTTGATGTTGGTACACAAAAACAACCTCATTTAGAAGAAGTGTTACTGAAGCATATCTCATCTGTTCGTTGTTACAAATATTTTCCGTTTGCTGTAGAACTTGAGCTGTTTAATCCCACCTTGCTGTGTACATAAGGGAAGATTTTTCGTCGACTGTTTTGTCGGTATGCTCCAAAACTAGTCAGCAATCGGTTTGAAATAACAGTACTAGGTTTCAAGTGATGGTTTTCTCATATAAGGTTGCGATCGCTTCTTAGGTTAAGGTGAACATGACTACCAATAGCGTACAAATTGTTGCCTGTGTGATCCGATCTGAAACGTTTCTGAGCTCAGCGTTTCTGATGTTAGCAGTGATAACCTTGGATGTTGCGGTTAACGACTTCTACTCTTTATGTTTAACCTACTGAAATGTTTGTCAGTAAGATAACTTTTATTATATATTTACATACTTTTTAAAAGAAACCTGATGTTTGTTTACGTTAATGGGCACATGGGCAACAGATACGAAATTAGTTCGCTAATTTTCCATGTTCGCACTTATCCAGAGTCTATCTGTCCTATGTAGTGCTGACTTAAAACACATGTTAACTAGACAACTACGACTTGACCGTCACCGATGAACAAAAAGGCCACTTCACGGACGCAGAGTAGGGACAACAGCGGATAAAACATTCCCCAGAAGGCATCCTGCAGACAACTATGCTGATAGTTATTAGAATCAACTAGTTTCGCGCAACGAGCTGAGGCAACTTCTACATTAGCGCCTAAGAATCCCAGCGCTATGTTCAAAACCCTTAATGTTACCTGCTGGTCTTCTCTCGTCGGCCATTACTAGTATACATCAAGGCCATTCAGACTTTAGGTATATGAAAAGTAATCAGGCACGAACTCCGTGTCATAACAAACATTTGTTTTCAATGATTTTCATGCAGCATCGTGAATTCAAGGTGAATCAACGTATCAAGGAGATGGAATTGATGAGTAAATTGGCTGAAGTGAGCTTAAGATTGTCCCATGCTGAACTGGCTAATCAACAAGCTAATGTCTGGTCCGAATTGAACAAGGCTCATCAGGCCGCCTCAGATTTGTTCAAACCCGCACAATCACAACAAGCCATATCTACACAAAACGAGCAGAACTCGAGTGCCTTCTTCGGCGATCACG